TTTTAAAAAATGCGTTTCTAAAGTGCATAAACTTTTGGGATTGACTGTATAGCCAATAGATCCTTAACAAAAGTTCAGTCTAAAATTTTAAATAAGAATTGTTGTCCATCATTATTGTTTGATTATTATAAATTTTTAGCGGATCACGTGACAGTGACTTTCTCGCACATCGATATAAACGTAGACGGCTTCTACTACGACGACCATTGCTCGTGGAACCACGTGGAGGTGTTCGAGGGAGAAGGGCTGGATGGCCCGTCTCACGGCAAATGGTGCGATAACGTTGTACCATTGCCGGTAACCAGCTCCGGGAACGCGCTCACCGTGAATTTGCACTCAAGTTACGATTTCGTCGGACACTTCGCTCTCACCTACACCACATTAAATTCAGGTAAACGACGCGTATCGCCTATTTTTATCGCATCCTGACGCGTTCTGCATCTTGTTCGATACCCGCGATATCGGAAACCACTTATCGTGGAACTTCTTGAATTATGAGAAGCCTCTTCGAGCCGATTCAATCGAGTATCGCGAATCTGTTGATAACTCTTAATTTTTATTGTTTATGTTTAATTATTCTCTTGTCGCAGCGTGCGGTGGGAATTACACTTCGTACAAAGGGAGGATTGCTTCCCCGAATTACCCGAACAGTTACCCGTTGGACGCAGAGTGTATTTGGATCCTGCACACCTCGCCCGGTAGCAGGCTCAGCCTGACCTTCAACGAGTTCGATCTACAGCAGAGCGAGAACTGCGAGCTGGATTATCTGGAGATACGAGAGGAGAGCGGGATTGGGAAACTGATCAGCACTTCCTGCGGGAAGCTCATCGCACCGGTCTTGACGTTTAAGAACCTCTGGATCAAGTTCAAGAGCGAAGGCGACGACGTTGGAAAAGGATTCGTAGCTGAGTTCACTATGAGTAGCAGTAACGAACTGAGCGGTCCTGTGGGAAGAATCACTTCTCCCCTTTATCCAATTCCTTACCTAAGAAGCGAACCTCTCGACTGGCGAATCACCGTGGAGTTCGGCTCAGTGATTCGAATAGACGTCACTGATTTGTTCATCGAGTCACCTGAATTCTACTGTCACTCACAACTCGAGGTAGAATCGACTTTGGCAAATTTTAATTAAATTTATTTCGTTTAACTATTGTAGAATATAAATTATATGTTGCTTGGTGGTAGATATTCGACGGTTACAATACGGAGGCACCTTCCCTGTTGGCGACTTGTGGCCTCGATAGGCCAAAGCCTGTTACTACTTCTAGCAACGTTGCTTTCATCAAGTTGACCATGTATCTGGTCCGTCAGGGTAGCGTTTTCGACCTCAATTGGATTCAAATACCACGGGACTTCGACCCTACGAATCCAGACAAAGAAACAAAACGTAATTATTACATATTACTTAAATATTAATTCATCCTCATCTTCGCATAATAATAACACGCATGGTTCATCATCCTTCTTGATTTTATTAGATTGTTACGTCGCAAATAAGCTGTTCGCTTGACTTGCGTGTTTCAATTTTTTGTTAATAATAGGAAAGGGAATACTTGGGAGAAGGGGTTTACGGGGAGGTAAAAACTAGTAAATAAAAATCGTAATTTTGGGGTAAACCCCGAGGAAACAGACCTTGCGGCCAAAACCTTATAAAAGATATTTATTGCGTAATAAATTAAACAGATGATTTGTGTAATAAGGACGAACCGCTCGGAGTAACAAATGAATAACATTGTAGAAGATTCGGAATATCTGATTTTCGTCAGTATTTAATAATAAGGATTTGAATGAACCCCTTTCTTGGTCGCGAAGGCGACGCGATTTATGGGATGAGGGAATACTCCTCACAACATACTCCCCCCGTTGGGGGAGGTCTTAACATAGATACTATAAATATAGTGTTAGATTAAAATTTATTAAATAATCTTCGCTGGAAAATATAAATAATTGTTGTTGCAGTGGGCAACTGCTCGGAGGAAATAACTCTGACCTATCCGTACGCCAACTCCCACATAATTACCTCGCCCGGCTGGCCGAACGGTTACGACGTGAATCTTCAATGCTCCTGGTTGTTCACGTCTCCGGTCGGTACTCATCTGCTATTTAAGGCAGAAGTTATGGACCTAGAAGAGAGTTTCGGTTGCCTGGCCGATTACGTATCGGTTTACTCTGGAAATGCATTGATGGACACAGACGACACGGAACTGCTGGGTAAATTGTGTCTGGCGAACTCCACCTCCCTTTGGCTGGAAAATGATAACAACGTGATGACAGTCAAGTTCCAGTCGGACAGCTATTTAAATAAGACAGGCTTTCGGGCTCACGTCTTTGTAGGTAAATCATTTCAATATTTGACACGAAGAGTACTTCACCTATATTTATTAACACTAGAAAGACTGAAACTTAGTATATACCTATATTGCCCAAAGC